GGGCCAGGCGCAGTGGCTCAAGCCTGTAATCCCAGTACTTTGGAAGGCCAAGGCGAGAGGATTGCCTGAGCTCAGGGGTTCAAGACCAGCCTAGGCAACTTGGTGAGACCTTGACTCTACAATAAATTAAAAAATAAGCTGGGCATGGTAGCACGTATGCCTGTGATTCCAGCTCCTTGGTTGAGGCTGTGGTGGCCATGAGCATGCCACTGCACTCCAGCCTGGGCAACAGAGTGAGACTCCGACTTGAAAAAAAAATGATTCGTGATGACATTCATATTGTTGATGACATCATAATGATTAGGAGTTGACTAGAAACAAACATGGAGAAGGGCACTTGTATCCCTGGGTTGGTTGTCTAGTACTTCTCTCATTAGTTGTTTTTTTTTTTTAAATAAAAATAAATTCAATTACAGATGTTAGTTAAATGTATGTATACAACATATATATATATACATAATACTTAAATGTAATTATTTAGACCAGTGGTTCTCAAAGTGTGGTTCCTAGACCAGCAGCATTGGCATCACCTGAGAACTTGTTAGAAATGCAGATTCTTCTGAATTAAAAACTCTAAGGGTGAACTGGATTACAAAAATGTTGTACATATACACGATGGAATACTATGCAGCCATAAAAAAGAACAAAATCATGAATTTCGCAGCAACCTGGATGGAACTAGAGTCTATAATACTGAGTGACCTCTCACAGAAACAAAGATCTGAGTATCACATGTTCTCACTCATATAGTGGACTTTGATCATCCGACGTATTACCATAAGAAAATGACTGACAGTGGTGGGAAACTTTGTGGGGGGAGGGGAAGGGAGATGGGATTAACGGTAGTAAACATCTCTCTGGGGACGGGGAGATACCTCTTATCAACAAGGGTGCCTGAACGAAGCATATTTGTATACCTACCCCTTAACTGTACCCCACAATATCATAATAAAAAATACTGATTATATTTAAAAAAAACCCTCTAAGGGTGGAGTCCAGCAGTCTGTTTTAACAAGCCCTCCAGGTGGTTCTGATGCAGAAACCATGCTCAAGTTTGAAAATCACTCTACTAGACACTGATAGGTACTCTCCTGTGTTTTTGCTAAAATTACATTTGAAAAATTATTAGGCCTAGCCTAGAAATTCTGATGTAAAGATAATAATGAATTTTTTGTGTGTGTTTTAAAATTATCTTCCCTCAATATTTCCTTCCAGCCTCTTTCCCATGCATATTTTTATGGACTTTAGAATATGTAACCTATACTACTTTAAATTGTGGTCTTTTTGGTCTTAACATTATGGAATAAGCATTGTCCATGTCACTACAAATACTTTGTAAACATAATATTTAAAGGTTGCTTAATAGTTCATAATTTCATTCTCCTAATTTTTCATATTTGTACTGTGGAAGGTTATCTTTTTTTAACTTTTTTATACTTTATTTTAAAGATATGTGGTGTAGTATCATGAGTTTTAATATCCCTCATACATAGTCTAAGCTGCAAATCTAGATGCACATGGGGAATTGTGACAAACCAGTGTTTGTCATGCCACCCTGCCTTCTGCATTCCCACTGCCTACACTGCACGCCAAGCCTGCAGGTCCCTCTCCTGGACGGTGGCAGTAACCTCCCTGGAAAGAGCACAGGTTTCCAAGGTCACAAGGCACACTGTGAAGTCAGCCTGTGATGCTCCCAGAGAGGACAGTGCAGAGGCTGAGACAGTTAACCTGGTTGTATTGATGTTAGAAGGTGTGCTTCAGCATTATGTATGTAGTACTTGTGAACAACCAGCTACAATCACTTATTTCTCATCCTAAAACCACGGTGAAGATCCACGGATTCTTGGACTTGGAAATCCCTTTAGGGTCCTGCAGGGGTTGGGTGGAGATGCAGAGCTTCAGGGATATTTCTCAGACATTTTTTGGTAAGATATAGTTTGTTCCATCTTATTTGTTGTAGATATTTGAAGGATTCTGAGATACTAAGATTGACATTGGCACAAACTTGGCAGAACCACAATGGAACTCATGTGGTAGATCACAGTGTTCACCTGAGGAGCTCATGTGTGTTCCTTGCAGTTGGCTCCTTTCAGAAAGTAAAGTGTTCAGTATCTGTGGAAGATTCAACAGCCAAACTCTTGTCCACTTGTGTGTTTCTCCCCTCCCTAGGAGACCCTGCCTCAGAGATGGAAGCTGGGCTGGGGGAGGTCTGATGGGCTTCTCTGCACATTTATTGTATTTTCTGACCCCTTCTGGACCAGGCCTGGGGACAGAGGATTAGGGAAAGGGCTTGATTTTCTGGGGTCATTGGTGGCACTACGGCAGCACAGCTTGGTAGGTGTGTGTGGAAGCCATGGCTGCTGCCCCTCAGTGTTGGGGCCTGCCTGTATGATTGGTAGGGAGTGGCAGAATGGACACCTTTTGATGAAGCGATAGGGGATGGATGACGTGTGTGCAACCAGACTCAGGGCACATGCCCAGTTGCTTCTAGGCAGGAGGAGAGTGAAGAACTGACATATCATCTGGTTTTCTCTCTTGTAGGCATGGATGGATTTTTGAAATCAGATGAGAGGCAAAGATTGGCCAAAGAAAGACGAGAAGAAAGAGAAAAGTGTCTGGGTAAGTTGTGTACTTTGGCTACTTACTTAGGTCCACAGGAGTAGAGATGTGGCAGTGTCTTTCCTAAAGAGCGTTAGACAGTTGTGAATGAATGGGAGGAGAACTAGGGAAATTGTTAGATGAGCAGGAAGAATCGGGAGTGAGCCTACACTGCAACTGGTATGTTCACAAATATGTAATTCTCAGAACAGTTCATTCACTTGACAAACATTGAACCACCACTGTGTTCTAGGCATCATGCTTGGGGCAGCAGATATGATAGTGAAGAAAGAGAAATGGTTGCTGCCCCCTACCTGAGGAAGTCCTGTCATCTTCAGGTGTCCACTATGTGCTCTCACTTGGGTTTTCACCTGGGCATCTAGAAGGGCTATGCTTGGGAGAACTGAGGAAGTTAACCACTGAGTTGTTTTATATGTTAGGACAGGGAACTTCAGTGAGAAAGACTGTCCTACCTGTTGCAGGCTGTAGACTGTTAAGTTCAGAGTGTTCCACACAGGGGTTAAGAGGTCATGGTTTTCCCCACTGAGTTGAGACAATTGAGAAGCTTTCAGGTTCTCCTCCTTGATTGCCTCCACTTGGTCGGTTCAGGCATTTCCTCCTCCAAGAAGCCCTTTTCTTGACTTAGCCAGGTAGAGTTAAGGCCTCATAGTCAAAGTGTTGGGGTAGGCCAGTCTTCTCCCTGTGTTTTAGCCCCTGACCTAACTTGGTGTTTGGAACATAGTGCATGCACAGTTATCCTGTTTTTGAATGACATACCCTGACAATGGTCATTTCTCAACCCATGTATAATTAAGCCATCATGCCCAAGTTTGACTCAGTGATAGCAATCATAGTCAGCTCCCATGTGTGGAGGCACTTACTGCCTACTATATGTTAGCAGTCCCCAACCTTTTTGGCATCAGGAACTGGTTTTGTGGAAGACGGTTTTTCCACAGATGGGGAGGGGGAGTCATCAGACATTAGATTATCATAAGGAACTCACAACCTAGATCCCTCACATGTGCAGTTCACAGAGTAGGGTTCACGCTCCTATGATAATCTAATGCCATTATTATTGACCTGACAGGAGGCCAAGCTCTGCTCACCCTCCAGTCACCACCTGTGTGGCCGGCTTTCTAACAGGCCACAGACTGGTACCTGTCTGCAACCCAGGAGTTGGGGACCACTGCTTTACATGCATCATCTCCATTCAGTCTTCACAACACTGTGATGGAGCAAACATGACACTCCCCACGTCATAGAGGAGGAAACCGAGGCAGAGAGATCATGTTGTTAACATGCCTGGCATCACCCAGCTTTTGGCAGATATGCCAGAACCCTTTCTCTCCGTCATTGCATCCTGGGATGCCACAGGGTACTTTTTAGTTCTCCAGTTTGGCTTCTGTGTGTTTGGTCTTAATCCAAACAGCACAGGGTGCTCTGGTCATGACACCCCTTTTCTGTGTTCCTTCCCCAGCTGCACGTGAACAGCAGATCCTGGAGAAACAGAAACGAGCCAAGCTCCAGTACGAAAAGCAGATTGAGGAGCGATGGAGAAAACTGGAAGAGCAGCGGCAACGCGAGGACCAGAAGAGGGCTGCAGTGGAAGAGAAGAGGAAGCAGAAACTCCGGGAAGAGGAGGTAAGGCCCAAGAGCCCCCACCCTCACCACCTGGGCGGCTCAAACGGGGCTCAGCGCTCAGAGCATCTGGGCATCCTGTCCAGCTCCGGGGTATGGGAGAGACCTGCCCTACACCCCCTCCCCAGAGGATCACCACGCCTTCAACACCATACAGTGGACTTAGCACCAGCATAGGAACAAAGAGACTTACCCATTCAGCTCAGGTATTAATTTTCTATGTGACCTTGGGCAAGCTGATTGACGTCTCTGGGACTTGATCTGCTTGTCTCTGAAGTGAGGGGGTTGGCAGTCTCCAAGGCCTCTTCCAGTCTTAACCTTCTCTGTCTCTCAGATTCCAAGGGGCTTGTGGCTAGGGTCTGGATGGTGTGGCCTTGAGGGTTACACAAGAGAGTTTACATCTACAGGGAAGACATGGGCCAGAGGGAGAATTGTGAGGGTCCAGAACAACAGGATCCTGTTAGCAGCCACTGGCAAATTAGTCCCCCATCAAATACCAAGATGCTAGTGTATTTACATTTTAATAACATTCTTTGCTTTATAATTACTCTTTCCAGTTACCTTTTAAAAATAAATGGAGTGTAATTACCCCTACAGAATTGCTTATTACTAAACTTTGAAAATATATTTAGAAAGCATATTTGGATTATAGATTTTCTTAACAATTATATTTTAAGGATATAATCATAACTTTGGATCATTTGATCATTTTTTATTCATAATGTATAATGACTCATCATTTAGAGCTCTTTTAATTGCCAGTACCATGGGATGTTTGTATGAATTCAGTATTTTAAAAATCTCTGAATGGTTATTAATCACTATACTAGGGGGGAACCAGAAAAACCAGAACAATCTTAGGGAGGGCAGGCCCCTTGTGGTGCACTCAGAATTTGTTCCTCCGTTTCAAACCGTCGGCCAAAGTTTTTATCTGGAAGTTTTTAGAAGGTTGCATCATGATTTGTGGAAGGAACAACCCGAATTGTGGTAAGCAGATGACTGGTTTGTCCACTATGACACTACACCTGCCCATATACACTGAACGTTCAGCAGTTTTTGACCCAAAACAGCACAACCCCCATGTCCTACCCTCCCTATTCTCCCAATCTTGCCCCGAGCCACTTTTGTTTCCCCTGGATGAAAAAAATCTTCAGAGGGAAGCGTTTTGCTGATGTGGAAGAAGTGAAACCAAAAACTGCAGGAGCACTAAAAGACATCAAAATTGACGAGTTCAAAAACTGTTTTGAGCAATGGAAAAAGCATCTCGGTAGGTGTATTACATCAAACGGAGAGTACTTTGAAGGTGACAGAAGTTTAAACATGTAAGAATAAATACACAATTTTTTATAAATTCTGTTTTCTGACCTTCCCCTCGTATATATTTACCCCATGCCAAATTAATTAATTATTTAATTTTGAAGTCAGGGTCTCACTCTGTCACCCAGGCTGGAGTACAGTGATATGGTCTTAGCTCACTGCAGTCTTAGACTCTTGGGTGCAAGCAATCCTCCCACCTCAGTCTCCTGAGTAGCTATGACTACAGGCATATGCCGCCACACCCAGCTAATTAAAAAAATGTGTTGTTTTTTTTTTGTAGTGGCAAGATCTCGAAAACTTCATTGCTTTTCTTTCTTCTTTCTTTCTTTCTTTCTTTCTTTCTTTCTTTCTTTCTTTCTTTCTTTCTTTCTTCTTTCTTTCTTCTTTCTTTCTTTCTTTCTTTCTTTCCTCCCTCCCTCCCTCCCTCCCTCCCTCCCTCTTTTCTTTTGCTGAACTCTCACTCTGTCTCCCAGGCTGTATTGCAGTGGCATGTTCACAGCCACTGCAGCCTCCACCTGCTGAGCTCAGGTGATCCGTCCATCTCAGCCTTCCAAGTTGCTGGAACTACAGGTGTTTGCCATCATGCCCAGCTAATTTTTTGATTTATTGTAGAGATGAGGTCTTGCCAAGTTGTCCAGGCTGATCTTGAACCCTTGGGCTCAGGCAGTCCTCTTACCACTGCCTTCCAAAGTGCTGGGATTACAGGTGTGAGCCACCACACCTGGCTGAAAGATCTCACTACATTGCTGGTCTTGTACTCCAGGTCTCAAGCAATCCTCCCACCTTTTCCTCCCAAAGACCTGGGTTTACAGATGTAAGCCACAGAGCCCAGCCCACTTTTTGTTTTAGTTTGTTTGTTTGTTTGTTTGTTTGTTTGTTTGTTTATTGAGTCAAAGTCTCCCTCTGTCACCCAGACTGGAGTGTTATGCTACCACTGCCTCGACCTGCTGGGCTCAGGTGGTCCTTCTGCTGCAGCCTTCCAAGTAGCTAGAACTGCAGGCACATGCCACCACGCCTGGCCAATTTTTTGATTTATTATAGAGACGAGGTCTCGCCATATTGCCCAGGCTGGTCTTGAGCTCCGGATTCAGGCCATCCTCTTGCCTCAGCCTCCCAAAGTGTTGGGATTACAGCCGTGAGCTACCATGCCTGGCCTAAAGGAGGTTGTTTTTGTGAAAGTGCCCAGCAAAGCATCGAACATGGAGAAATCAAATTGTTCAGGAGTGTTGGATTCCCTTCACTTACTTCAACTGACCCTGGTTGAAGCTGAGAATTTAAGAGGGAGCTACCCAGAAAAGATTATGGAACAGAACCTGTAGACTTAGAAAAAAGCCACAGAGTGATAGGCTGTTTTGGTAACCTGGGACAGATTTCTCCTTTCCTCACCTGTATATTTGTCATGAGTCACCGTACTTGTCCATTTTCTCCCCACTCTCCATTTCCAGATGACTTAGAGTTTGTCCTCTTCTTCCCTGGTCTCTCCATTTTGGTTCCTGACATCCTGTGGAATTGCTGACTCAGGAGAAAACTTATCCCTGCTGTTTCCAGGAAGGGGCACTGTGAAGTCACAGGAGATACTTCCCGTGTTCTGACACATCCTGCATTGTTACAGGGGTCTGCTTTTGAGGCAATTTCTGTCTATAACTTTTCTTTAGAGAACATTAGTGCTGAAGGCATGTGAAATTACATAGTCAGACTCCCGCTTCTTGCAGATGAGGGAATGTCATGCCAGATGGTTGGTCCTGATGCAACTGAATCTTTAGTGGTTTCATTTCTAGATAATTTTCTATTTGTGTGCTTCCTGCACCCAGAATGTGGTATAAGGTGGTGGGGGCCACCGCTTGACCCTGGTCAGCACAAGCTGAGTTTGCTTCCTTCTCCCTGAGCACAGCAGGACAGGGCTGAGGGCTGGGCCTCCTGTGGTTGTGTAGCAACCCAAGGAAACAGCACCCTCCCTCCCACATACTCCCACCCTCAGGGGCCCAAGAGACCCATGTGTAGCTTAGGGACTTGTCGCAAGCAGGGTGGCCTGTTAGCTACATAGGTGTCAGTGTTCTGCCAGTACAGAGGCCTGTTTGGCGTTGTTGTAGGTGACCCTTCGGGAGGAGGGATAAGCCTGCACTGCAGACACCCCTCTCCAGAGGAAACACTCTGCACTGGCTCCCATGGTTCCAGGAGAGCTCTGGGAGGGCTGCTGCCTTCTTAGTGCTGGGCTTGGAGATTCTCAATTCTCTTCTCATTGTTAGATTTAAGTTATTTTCATTATGCTCTGTCTCTGTCAACCAGATAAAAGCCTCTGCAGGAAGATTTTTCATTCTTCACAGGCTGTTTGGTTTCTCTAGCCTGTTGGGAAGTGTTTGTGTTGCCCACCAAATCCTTCCTCTGGGTCTGATATTTAGGAGCTTGTAAGAGGCCTGTTGACCCCCACCCAGCCCTACTCTGGCTCCATGTCTGTATCACAGCAGAAGTCGACAGCACCCGTAACCTGGCTCCCTGAGGTCTCAAGATTGGCAGTGATGGAAGCCGGTCAGGCCTGTCCTGGGGGTGGAGGTGTCCAGTATCCACTTGAGACCCTGACCTTGAACTCATTTTTTTGCTAGAGGCTACCTACTCCTTAAGGTGGGTTGCTATAACCCTCACATGCCACATAGCTCCTAAGAATCGAGCTGCTGGAACAAGTTTCTGTTGCCTGACACAGTATGGTCACCCATTCTCTACTCAGGAGTATAGCTTCCTGGTAGTGGCCCTGTAAAATGGAATTAGGGAAAGCTAACTTCATGTACCTTGTGCTAAACAGATAACTGATAACTAGGATAGGCCTTTTGCAAAGAGTAGCTTTATCTCTTTAATTTATTTTGACACATCAAAACTTCTCATACTCTTATTGCTGGATATCTAAAAAAACAACCCCACGGGGTTGGGTGTGAAACGAGAAATTTCTGAACTCACCTAAATAAAAACCTCACACAGCTGAGGGCTGACGGCTCTAGAGGGCATTGACTGGCAAGGTGTCATGCTGACCACATGGCCTCCTGGCCAGATGGAGACATCTGTTTGCAGAAAAAAAGACCCCCTATGGACTCCTGCTGAGGACCACTGGGGGCTTGTCCCTGCAGTGCCAACCCCCGAACATAGCCATACCCTGCTAGGGGCCTCTTATGCTTCTTAGCCAGCTCAGCAGGTCATCATGTTTGTGATTCTCTTCATTTATCCAGGCTAATCTAGAGCCCCGGAGCTCAAGGGGTCAAGGAGTAAGGCCCCCTTCTTCCTTCCTTCCACTTAGCCCCACCCAACAGAGGATATTCTAGGGACAAGAATTTACCTTGCCCTTTCCTCATCCTCTGTTGACCACCAGATGATACTCAGGAGAACCAGAACCTGGCAGGAATTGCAGTATGCAGTTCTGATATTTATTAATTATCTTCTGATGTAATCGGACCTCCTGTCACTGGCTTTCTTGTGCTCAGCCTTCCCCCTAATCAGTGGCTCTCACTGTGGAGGTCCCAGGAACAACAGCACCTGGGAACTTGTTAGAAATGAAAATATTCAGTAAACTCAGGGGATCAGCCCCCAATATCTGTGTTTTAACAAGCCCTCCAGGGGATTCTGATGGATGAACCCTCAATTTTGAGAACCACCACCCTAAGCTGTCCTGTTGGTAATCTTCCTCTCTAAATTCAGATTCAGTTAGCATTGGACAAAGACTTAGCGCTTGTAATTATCCTACAGACTTAGACTGATCTGAAGAAGCAGATAAGATCATTTCCATTTCATAGGTGAGGAGACTGAAACCCAAGGATGTGAATGATTACCTCAAGGTCACAGGGCTAAAAAGGGCAGCAGAGGGGGGAATTTGAATTCTTATCTCTCAACTTCAGATATAGGATCCTTTCTGTTTCATTGCATGGAGAAACAAAAAGGTATACACAAACATCAGGCAATACTGACCTATGTAGGACTAACTTCTAATAAGACTTGTGCAGTGGTCAAGTTTTGGTTTTGGCATATTTGAATCACTCCATTCTGACTTTTTAAGGGTCCCATAAGCTTTCTTCATGTAGAGCTCGGTTACCACCTGTTTTTTATCATCTCTCTAAAAGTGTGGTACAAAGTGATTATGTCTTTCTTTTGGGGTTAACGATGTTTTCATCAGCCTACTCAAGGTCTGAAGGAATGAACCTCTAGTGGTGGAACTTGCAGCAGCTCAGTGGATTTGGGGGTGAATGGCAGAGATAGTCTTTTTAAAGGTAACTGAAGAGTCCAAGGGTAGGTCTGGCTTTGGGTGAGCATTTCCTGATGATGAGGCCCCCAGATAGCTGCTCAATGGTAAGGCTGGCTCAGTGGGTCTCGATGTTCTTGGTTCTCTTTGGTCCCCTAGTAGAAAAGGGACCAGCTTGTAAGGTCCTTCTGACATGTAGGAAATCTACCATAACCCATTCAGTACTAAATTTACTACAGGGTGAAAGGTTTCAAAGCTTAAGTTCTTTATGTTAAATCCATATAATGAAATAACATTCAGCCCCAATCTTGAGTTGCGGTACTTCAGGCATCACATGGTGAAGTTCTGTTCCTTCTAAGTCCTGGCTTTTATTGGGCAAATTGCCAGCCTTGGCCACCATAATTTAATAGGCCAGGGTCATGAAGACAGGACTCTCTTTGGGAGTACATACTCATGATTATAGAGTCTCAGGTCAAAAACTAGAGCACAATTCACAGCCAATACAAATCTGAAACTTACGAGAAGGAATAAAGTCCCCTTTTCTGCTCACAGGTCCCTGGAGAGACAGTCTCTTAGAAAAATGATATTCAGAGAAAAATTATGCAGACAAAGTTGAGGCATGGAGAAACCAGGTGTTTATCTCATCCCTCTGGTATAGACAAAAGGGGTATATCTGGACACCTACTAAATGACCTTTATGTGTTCCTAGTAAGTGACGTAAAGGAGCCTTTTCCTGATCTTTAAGTTGTAGTTACTCAGCTGATGCAGTCCTTAATTAATTTTGCTTAGTTGTTTTTTTAAGCCACAAGAAAACTGTATCTCTTTGTTTTAGATTTAGGCCATTATTAATCTAGGTCCTAGAACTCCTCAGGGTTGGGTTTTATGAGGGCTAAGGGGTGTCACTGTGACAGCAATCCTTGCTTTGGGCCTTCTCCAGCAGAGGCAGGGAGAGGAGCTGGTATTTGCAGTGTCATTGATGTGGTGGGGAATGCAGAATGAGAACACCTTTCCTGCAGTACCAAGGACATTTTTAGGGAAGTAACAGTTTCAGTAATACAGGAGAGTGCTTCTGATAAATTCTCTGTTAGGAGAAAAGCCAAGTTGTTGTTTTTCTCTTCTGGTTAAAGTTGTTGAGGGCTGCCTGCCCCCTCCCCAAATCTGCCTAGCTCTGGGAATGCTTGGATGCATTATTTTGTGACCAGAAGGTTCCCTGCTCTTGTCTCTTTTTAATTTTGAAATATGCAATATTATCCCCTGACTACTTTGTGGCAGAAAAAGTGTTGCAATATAGAATACAATTGATTTCCCTTTAAGAAGTTGTAAGATGAAAATTAGCTTTGCAAAATAGATCTCAAAGGCATGTATTACCCCCCAAAATTATGTTTAGGGCTACAAAAACTCAAATTATATTTAAATTTTCTCAAAGCAGAATGTTTTATGCTTTCAACTAGAAAGGATACAGTTGATTCTGGAGTAAAATTCCAGCATTCCTGCTGGCTAGTGCAAAAGGGGACTGGAGATAGGGCTCAAGGAGTTAATGCTTATTGGGCATTATTCTTCAGGCAGCTTCTGGGCAGCTTGTCCCTGGGGAGGGGAGGGAAGGGGAGGGGACGCAGTGCTCAGTGTTGGGAGCAGTGCTAGCCCAGCCGCATTGTTTACTCTCCGCCCACTAAGAACGCGCTGGCGTGATGGAGAGAGCTTGTATGCTGGGGTTTGGGATGCTGAGCACGGAAAGCCCCATTTGGTGACTCACTGAGGCGGCAGTGCAGTGGGGTTGGGTGGTTCATCTTGTTCTCAGTTGACACTGACGCCTTACGTGGACTGGGCAGGAGCGGCTGGAGGCGATGATGCGCAGGTCCCTGGAGCGCTCGCAGCAGCTAGAGCTGAAGAAGAAGTGTTCCTGGGGAGCATCGGTGGCTGCGGGACCCACAGGACGTGATGGTGAGTGCAGGGCTGTCCCCGCATTGCAGGGCCCCAGGGGGGAGATTCTGGGGCTGGTGGGAGATCATAGGCAAGGCTGGGTATCTGCAGTATCTAGGGGATACTTTGCACAGCTTTTCAGAAATACCATTTTCAGATGTTATGTTTAAAACTACCAGGCTCCCTGTGTATGCACCTCTCACGAAGGGCACCTGTGCATTCTTCTTGCTGACAAAAAGCAGTTGATACCATGACTGGGCTTTGAAGAAGAGTAAAAGAACAGCAGAGATGCTGAACGAAGATCCCAGTGAGCCTGACTATGTTCTCAAGCCCCCGGGGTAGTCTACCTTAAGGGGAGGGCAATGGCAGGAGACTGGGTCACCTCTCCAGATATGACCAGGAGAGGCAGAGCAGCAGTTACCCTCAAAAATGGGCTGGGCTGGCCGGGCTTGGTGGCCCAACCTGTAATCCCAATGCTTTGGGAGGCCGAGGTGAGTGGATTGCCTAAGCCCGTGGGTTTGAGACCTGCCCAGGCAACTTGGCAAGACCTCATCTCTACAATAAAAAAAAAAAAAAAAATCAGCCGGGTGTGGTAGCATGTGCCTGTAATTCCGGCTACTTGGAAAGCTGAGGCGGAAGGATCACCGGAGCCCAGCGGGTCGAGGCTGTGGTGGCTGGGAGCGGCCACTGCACCAGTCTGGGCAACAGCGTGAGACTCCAACTCAAAAAAAAAAAAAAAAACAGACTGGGCTTTTTTCTGCCTCATGTTTTATTTTTGTTGCTCTTTCAATTTTGTTTCAAGATGACTTTTTTATTTCGTTGTCCAGTTCATACTCATCCTTAAATTTTCAAATGTTTAAAGTATAGATTGTTACTCGTCTCTGGTGAATTTTCTTTCTTTTCAGGGCCTCACTACAGTTCAGTGATCCCAGCATTCTATTATGCGGGAGTTAATAGTAACTCTTTCTGAGAGCAAGCGGGTTTGAGCTTATAGGACAGTTTCTTGACTTTGCCTTATTGTGCTTTTAGCCTTTTGGCAGTGAATATACTTTATTTTTTTAATTTTTTTCGAAGTCAGCAATCAATTTTGGTTACTTTTTTCTAATTTCCTCATTAGCAACTAAGAAACAATAAGACATTGGGTCTTTTTTCTTTTACCTCTCTTTGCTCTGATTTTTTGCTGTGTAGGTGAATCAGAAAATCCCCCACCCCCTCCTCTAGGTTTAGCAGCCAGCACCCTCCCTCCGGACGCAGGGACTACTGCCGCAGCTGCCGAGTCCACCAACGGTATACCCGAGCATCACTGTGCCATTGTGTCTTGTGATGGCTCTTCTGTTCTGATCACCCTTCTCCATCACCATGTTTGTCTCAAACACTTCTGCAATTGATTTCTTAGTCTGACCTGTCATAACTTTTTTTCCTAGAGATGTGAACGACATACCCATACTTACTTGTTCCTCTCTCATCATAGAGCTGTGCATGCCTTACATCTTAGTGTCCTGGAGACATTTCATCTTTAGCTCACTAACTTCTGTTTTGAAAATCTTGTCAGTGTTTGATTTTTGCTCATTTAGATCTTTACAATCTCATGAATCATCATCTATTGGAGGCATTAAATAGTAGAGCATTCTGAGCACTTCTGGTTACCACGCCGGTAATCTCCCAGAGTGTGAATGGAGTACTTGGGCTTGGTGTTGAAGTTAGGCATTCCTGGGAGGTGTTTGCAAGGGAGGAGGAGGGGGCTCACTACTGTTAACACTGGGAATTCAAATAATTAGGTAATTTGGCTTTGTGCTTGATTCCCTCTTTATCTGGTGGGCTCTCTGTTTTGGATACAGTCCTGGGAAATTTTTCTGGTCTAGATCAAGAACAGAACGAGCAAAACTAGCTGGCAAAGAAAAAACAAGATGTACAGGGGATGCAATATTTATCAGCAATACAGAAGGTGATGGAGCTTTAGGAAGAAATATCCTCGGTTTCTGACATTCCTTTGACAAATAATAATCCTTATTGGTGGTGCTTAGTAGCTGTGATTTAGCTGCGCAGGCTGAGTTACCTAAAGTGGGTGCACTGGTTTTCCCCTGTGGAGAGGGGCAGGCAGAGTGAAATGATCACTCACTGTGAATCAGCACCCAGGGCCAGGACCAGAGGAGGTGAGTGCAGTACTAGACTTGGGCACACAACTTAAGGTTTTGGGGTGCCAAAAATCTAGGTAATCAAGATAAAATAATAGTTTAATGCAGTATTTTGAAAAATCAAAATCAATGTAAAACAATCCATAATGAACAAAATATTGGATTTCTAAGGACCAGTACTTTTCAGAGTCTGAGGCAAGAGGGAAAATGTGTACCTGTATGTAGAGGGTTTAATATAATTTCTAATGTTTAATTTTTTCTAGGAAAAAAAGTAGTTAAAACCTAAAAAATGGAAAGGTTAGGAGTATTAAAACTCACAGTATCATTTCAAATGTAAATATTGTATTTGTCCCCAAACCAGATTTATTATACTTTTATTTCAACTTAAGTCAATTAAAAATTATTTAAGAACATCACTTGGTCAGGAGAAACTGTCAAAACATGGCAGTTCTCTCATTTGAAAACAAGATGAGCAGAAAAGTAGATTTTGAAAGTATTACTGATGAATTTGCTTCCTCTACAGGGGGCAAAAAAAATTTTTTTGCCTCAGTTTCCAAATTAGGTTGACAGGACATTACTGTCAGCACCTCTTTGTTGTAATGGTTCAATATGGAAACCAATCTGAAATAATGACTGGAACATGAGAATACCAAACCCAGGGTTACATGTAAAATCCTAACCATATACAGTTAAAGTGTTTGTGAAAGGATTATTTTGATCTCATCTCTTACTAAGAGGAAGAAACCCAACTGCTAAAAGCCAGTCTGTTTTAAATACAACTTCTTGCATTACAAATTCCATCTCTCTCCAACCTAAGCTACAGATAACCTCCAGGAAAAAGGTCAGTTTCAGCACATACAGTCTCAGTTAGACCACAGAACATTTTCCAGTGTCAATTTGTCTCTGGGTCCAGGTTGGTTTTGTTTTCATGTGATGTGAATGTATTTAAAAATCCCTGGACACAAGAACATGATTTTCTGGTGGAATTAGCATTGCCTTAGTTGAACAATTGAGTGAGGTTGAAATTTGAAATGGAGGAGAGTAACACAATGGAGAAACCGCGGAGGTGCTCTTGCTGCAGACCAATGGCTGCTGTAGCCTGGGCATTTCCAGATGAGGCTAATTAGATGCCAGGATGATGGTAGCAGAGTGTGCTGTGCTTGAAGCGTTAAGGAGGTGTGTGGATGAGAACAGGAAGGACACTTTGGGATGCGTGTTTCTCAGTCTACAGTGGTGTGAATACCAATGTCTTTAATGCATTTTTCTGCAGCATGTGACAAACTTTCAACATCAACCATGAATTTGCCAAAGCAGACGGAGCCTCCCATGAGTAAACGCCTATCTTCATCCACCGTGGCAATATCCTATTCCCCAGACCGAGGCAAGTGAACTTGTAGACCTGGTCTGGTCTCTGCAGTTTGTTTCTTTCTGGTGTGAGCATCTTAATGTTGGCCTTTGTGAGAGCCCTCTCTTGAGCCTTCTGCAAATACTGCCACTGTCTTAGATTTGTGGTCTGAATGTGGGAGCCCTAGGGCCTCACTAATGGAACTCTGGGAAGTAGCATTGCTCTTTAGAGTGAGGTCATTGTTGAATAGGGACAGGAAATCATGGTATCTCCAAGTCTGAAAGAGGGTGTTTGGTTTTCCACATTGCATGTAGAAGTCATCTTGCCCAGAAATTAAGTGACCAGTAGGCAGATGTGACCATTAAAAAAAGTAACTGCCCAGTCAGTGATGAGATGTAGCTGATTAGCCAGAAAGAGCAGAATTGATGAGTCAGAGTTACACGGGAGGCTTAGATGTGTGAGAAAACAAGGCTCTGCAGTCATCCATGGTTTGCAGGCCTGCCTGTTTTGTAGATGAAAACAGAAGTGTGGAACTAATATGAGGCCTCTAAAAGAGGGGAAAGATAGGCCTTTTAGACACTCTGTTTCAAGGTAGGAGAAGAGGTGTCTAGCACATGGGCCAGTTCTGGAACCTGAGTAGATCTAACCTGGTCTGTGTTCTAATGGAGGCTCAGATAAGTCACTGGAAGTCTGAGTTTATATCTCTAAGAGTTTGTAGATAAAGGAAGGCAGAGAAGCTCTCCATGCATGAAATGCCAATTTGAAAGCAACACTGAAGAAGTGTCAGGCACCAGTGGAGCATTTAACATGTCAAGTCATCACCAAGGGGCAAGCAAGAGGATGTTTGTGGCTTGGCAGAGGCCAGTGTGCTTTCCTGGTTGTGTTCACTGGCATTGACCTTGCACCTCCATTCCAAAGGCACGTTGTATATGTTAGAGATCCTGAGAGGGTCATAACACTGCTGTTCTCAGATGCAGTTCATGGGTAAGCACCAGGGACCTGGAAGTGATTAAGAGGTAGACGAGAAAACACACACACACTCAACTTCACATAGCAATTCCATTAGTGAATGTATTCCCTGTGTTTTTATTAATTCGCATGGTTCCAGAGTGATGTTAAATTCACTTTTGCATTGATAATATGTAAAGATGGCTGTATGTTATTATGTATTGACAACTAAATTATCTGCTTGTGGATTATAAATTAAAAAATTTAATTCTCATACCATTTGCTAGTTTATAGACACCCAAAGAATACAGGGTAAAGGAAAAGTGAATACTTTGCCATATAATATATTCCAGAATGGTCAAAATATTTTGCACATTTAATTTTTTGTTATGACTCCTAGTGTCTTTCATTAAAGCTGATAATTAGTTGTCTGTTTTTATTTTTATGCTTCTCACTTAATTGTACCCTTATTTACATGGATAAACTATGAAAGGATATATTTTATACTATTATAAGATGACATTTCATTTCAAAACTCAGTGTGTTATAAAATAATTCTTCACAGGACCTAAAGAAAGTGTTTTATAGGCATAATCTTTTTTCAGTGTTAGATAGACTTGGTGAGTAAATGATTTCTTGAGTTCATATTATGTCTTGGAAGGTGGGCTAATTCTCTTCAGGTGATACTGGTCACTGTATTGTAATAGCATATGGAATGAATTCTGAGATCTCAAGAGAATGCACTCTCCCAAACTCTAAATGTTGCATCATTTGTTTTCTTTACTCTGATGAACTCCAAAGTCATTCATTGTTAGAATATTTTTATTTTCCACATTTCTTCTGTACCCAAAAGTAAATTTGCATCATGCACTGTGTTGCTTAAACATTTAATTTTGTTTTGTTTTAATTTTTCTTTTTAAATTTTTCATTTGATTCCATTCCCCAGCTCATCGCATGCACCTTAGTCCCATGGAAACGTTTCTTGTTATGCGACTGTTGACACCCACACAGGCTTCTTTAGCCAGAAGCAGAAGTGCACTCATGCTCTCTGAGCAGGCCAGTGACTCAGGTAAAAGAGGCTAAGCTGGTAGTACCAAGAAAAATGCCCAAAATGATGTTGGTCAGTCTAGGATTTATTTCTGAATTTTTGGATTTTGCTTCCCATTTTCTGGCTTTATGATATGTCTTTAGTGGTTTATAACATTTTCTGTCCACCAATATTTTGCTGTTCTGTGTTTCTTTTAAGTGTCACAGAGGTAAGTAAATTATTTTATGAGTGAGAGCATGTACTTTAGGGAAAAATGCACTTGATGAGCTACGGAGGTTTGTAGACGTTTCTGAAGAGGCAGTTTGACAAAGTAGCCTGTAGACCACAGTATCTGGAGTCTTGCAGCCAGCTCTTCCACTCATTAGCTTTTACCATTTTGGGTAAGTTAATTAACTTCTCTAAGCCTCAGTTTGCTCATCTATAAAATGAAGTTATTTTAAATTATCATGAGGATTAAATGAGATAATGCATGCAGGTGAGACTGCACAATGGGTAAGAGATCAACCAATGTCTAGAGCCCACTACTCAAAAGGTGGTCCATGGACCAGCAATGGTGGCCGCACTGGGAGCTTGGTGGGAAAGGTAACTCTCAGGTCTCACTTGACCTGCCCGTTAAAGTCTGAGAAACACTGGACCAGGCCATCAGAGTCCTTCCTTTATCAAAGCACATTAAATTATTATGTCAGGATTAGTGAGGGCTGGTATTTTCATTGTTTACAGATAAGCAACTCTGTGTCCACATGAGGTCAAGTCTAGACTCCATTCCTGAGATAATGTATTTGCTGTGATGACACATAAATTAAATAAACCTCTGCCTAGTTGTAGCTGCTTCTGAACAGTTATACTATTTCTACAAATAAGATATGCAAATAGCCAATAAGCACATGACAGGATGCTCAACATCATTAGTCATTAGGGAAATACAAATTAAAACCACAATGAGGTACCACTTCATACCCACTAGGATAGCTAGAAGTTTTTTTAAAAGGGGAAACAAGTGTAGGTGAAGTTGTAGAGACACTGGACCCTCACACACTGCTGATGGGAATGTAAAATGATGTAGCTGTTAGATTACAGTTGGGAAATTCCTCCCATGTGACCCTGCAATTCCTCTCCTAGATACAGAGCCAGTGAAGGTAAAAACATAGGGTCACACAAAAACGTGTTCACAATAGCCACAAAGTGGAAAGAACTCAAATGTCCATCAATGGATGAATGGATAAACAAAATGCGATATATCTATAAAGTCAAATATTATTCAGCTATAAAAAGAAATAATGGGTTGTTACATGGTACAAGATAGATGAACCTTGAAAACATTATGCTAAGTTAAAGAAGGTCACAAATTGTATGATTCCATTTATATGAAATGTCTGAAGTAGACAAATAGAGTGGTGGTTGTCAGGGACCAGGAGAGTGATTGCTTAATGGAGAAAGGGTTTCTGTTTGGGGGTTTTGAAAATGTTCTGGAATTAGACTGTGGCTATGGTTGCACAACCTTGTGAATATACCAAAGATCACTAACTGTACATTTTTAAAGGGTGAATTTTTTGGTATATGAATTATATTTCCAACAAACAAAAACCCTAGCAAATAGGTAGTACCCCATTTTGAGAAAGGGTTGTATCTGGGGTCCCTAAGACTATGCCCAGAATCAGCAATTTGCCAGGAGGACTCACAAGACTCAGCAGGGAAAGGACACTGCAAAATCAGCAAAGGAGAAAGGCACATGGGACAAAGTCCAGGGAAGACCGGGCAGAGGCTTCCAGAATCCCTTCCAGTGGAGTCACTTAGGATGCCTTTCCCCCAGCAATGAGTTGCCATACATGTATGGTGTGTTGACAAGCAAGGAAGCTTGTTATAGACTCAGTGCCCAGGAATTTTAGGTCACATGCACCCCTTGCCCCACGCATAGCCAAATTCCAGATTCCCAGAAGGAAAGCAGGTATTCAGCATGCACCATAGTGTACAAACAATTCAGGCATAGTGAGTCACTCACCAGTTAGCGTGGGAACCCTCCCAAAAATCTAAGGTGCTGGCTGAGGGCCAACCTTGGAAGCAAACTTTTCCAGGGATAGCAGTCATTCTTGCTCTGTTAACTCCTTTTGCGTAGTACATCTCTTTGGCCCTTGGCCAGGGCATCTTTACAGAAGATTTATCAGTAGGACCCCCCAGAGCAGGGTGAGACCAACCTGCAGTGTTGATCTCAGTCATGTCCTTTAGGAGTTCTGGATTTAGCAGCGAAAGCAAATCCCATTAACCAAAAAGGTCTTATCTCAGGCAGCCAGGAGACTTCCTTTGTCAGTTCCTATATGAATCTTTGTACCTAGCCTGAGTCATCAACTCAGGCCCAGTGTTCTGGCCAGTGAGTTGAAGGTGACCTGAATGCTTTCCAGGGTTGAGGCAGTGTCATGAGAATCACAGCACACACACAAGCACTCATGTGGTCTCTGGAAACAAAGAGTTGACAGTGTTAGGGCACCCCCGCAGAGCATGCATTGGTTAGGCAGCTCCCAGCGAGGCCTCCAACTGTGGTGTCCCCCCCCCCAAGGATACTCAGTCCAGTGCAAATAATTCAGTTGTCCCCAGTTTCAGTCGTACTCTCTTCTGTCGGTGACACTAGTTTATCTGCCTGGTGAGTGTGCACGGCATCTGGAGGTGTTCTGCTGGGACCTTGCAGGAGCTGGCACATACTGCCTGGCTCATAGTCACACTGTCACTGGCACCTAGGCTCAGCAGGCATTCTGAATCCCAGGTGCTTGCAGCATGGGGACTTTTCCTTTAGGAAGAAGGGGAGAGCTTCCAGGAGCAGTTCTGGAAAACAAAGATCTCAAGTGTCTTTTATCATTCCCACACCACCCCAGGTGCTGAGCTTTGTTGTTTTTATCCATGTCCTGTTCAGTTATCAAAACACTACATTTTCTTAATCATCCCCTGCTCTCACCTAGACCTCTCAAAAAAGACAAAAGCATTTTTATTTAAAAAACCAATATTATTATCCAACTTAAATCAGAAAAACACATAATGTCTAGATACTAGAACAAAATTCTAAATTTTCAAAGTGTTTAAGATGGGTTTGTATCACCTCTGTTTAATTTTGGTCATCTTAGCCGGGCTCAGTGGCTCAGCCTGTAATCCCAGTGCTTTGGGAGGCTGAGGTGAGTGGATTGCCTGAGCCCACGGATTCAACACCCGCCTGGGCAACTTGGTGAGACCTCACCTCTACAATAAATAAAAAAATCAGCCAGGTGTAGTAGCACATGCCTGTAGTTCCAGCTACTTGGAAGGCTGAGATTGAGGCTGCGGTGGCCGGGAGCGGCCAGTCTGGGCGACGGAGTGAGACTCCAACTCAAAAAAAAAAAAAAAAAAAAATTTTTTTGGTCATCTTTCCAGTGAGTAGCCTAGACTTGATCAGCCTCTTTCCAGGACAGCTGCATTTAACAAAACTGCCTTACTAAGGTATGTGTACTGGGAGAAAGGTGAGAGAAGTAGAGTCTGGCTCCCCACCTGTTATTTATACACTGAAACTATGCCAGAAAGTCAAGCACAAGACCTCAACAGCAGTGACACCTCCCGCAGAAAAGACTTGTCTGTCAGGATGGGTGCAGGCGTCACATTGCCTGTGATGCCCCTCCACAACTTGCAGCTTTTGCAGGAATCACCAGCTGGGAATGTAGCAAGGCTTTGCATCAGAAGTACAGAGATAGTGAACAGCTGGATTGTCATCTTCAAATTCCAGAGGTCCCTTTTACCACTCACAACAGATAGCAGCTCAGCTGCTGTTTCATCCATGGATGACTTCATAGCCACTCAGGCACTACAAGTTCGCCATTCTCCGCCTCTTTATACCTTCCTTTCCCCAAACAGTGCTTTTACTATATTACAGTGAACCAGGATCATTCCAGTGATTCCCACTTCTGATACTAATTGTGTCAGGAGTCTCCAAGGCCACCACGGATTTGATGATTCAGCAGGAGAACTCAAGCCTCAGCTGAGTTGCCCTTGTGGCTGTGATCTGTGACAGTAGAAGGCTACATGGCAAAACCAGCAAATAGAAGAGGCTCATGGGGTGAGGTGCAGAGGTGACCAGGTGCACATTTCCAAGAGTCCTTTTCCACAGGAGCCACATAGGATGCCGTAATTCCCCCAGCAACAAGCTGTGACAACACATATGAAATGTTGCCAGCCTAGGAAACTGGCTTGGAGACTCACACCCTGGGGTTTGTACTGGGGGCTGCTCATGTACACATCTCCTGCCAGGCACAAATTCTAGACTCCCAGAAGGAAAGCAGGTGCTCAGCATAAACCACATTGTTTGTACAAACCATTTAGGCACCCCTTAGTTAGTAGAAGGAACACTCTCAAAAGCTAAGTTCCCAGATGCCAACCAAGGGCCAACCTTGTAAGCAAGCCTTTCCAAGGGTGACAGTCAGATCTGCTGTGCTAACTCTTCATGACACAAGGAAATTGACAATTAGAGAGGTTAAGTAACCTTCCCAGGGTGATCCAGCTATTAGGTGACAGTGCTGGGCCTTTCTGGTTCCAACGTGCAGACTTTTAACCCCTAAAATGAGCTTGACTCTAGAGAGTGGAAGTCTTTTTAAGATAAATCCATTCTGTATGCAATAGAAAAGTATGATATTTTGGGAAGTTACATTGCCCGGGTCACATTTTAACAGAAATGTGGTGTTCTTCCCGACTCTTTGCTCTCCCTCCTTTTTCCATCTGCACTCCCCTTCTTTCTTGGCTGTTCTACTGTAACTTTCTAGTATTCCATACCTGTCCTCGTTTAGCTCCTGCTGGCCCTCTTAAGTCTTCTTACAAATCTTCTCCCACTCGAAACATTGAGAGGAAGAAGGCTGCATCCACATCTGGCGCAGGAGATGCCACGAAAGGAAACCCTACAGGAGCAGAGGCCTCTCCGGTAGGTTTCAACCCCCTACTTACTCCTCCAGGTGGTGGTCTGTCTGACAGTGCAGTTACCTCCTGGGCTTCACCTGGCATCTTTGTTCTCATCAAACTCCAGAGATTTCTCAAAGGGAAGTGTGGACTTGGTGTAAAATTTTACCCAACCTTTGAAAATCATATAACCTTTTGCACTCTCTTAAATCTTAATGCCTTGAAGCAAATTCTTGATGTCCTCGTTACAGTCTATCCTCCAAAGGACAGGAGCCAGAAGCAATGTTCCAAGTATCCTCTCTCTACTTCTTTATGGATATCTGAATCTTGGCCAGTCTTGACTCTGCAGATAACTAGAACTGAGGTTCTAGGTCAACCTTCATTCCCAAAAGTAGTCTTTAGACATTTTTTTTAAAAGAGATGGGACCTTGCTCAGCTGCCCAGGCTGGTCCTGAACTCTTGGGCTCAAGTGATCCTCCTGCCTCAGTATCCTGAGTAGCTGGAACTTAACAGGCACACGCCACTGCACTCAAGCATAAACATTATTGATGGCATACTGGCACCATCAGTAAAATAAATGTTGACCAGGTATCCCCAATTATATATATATATATATTTATTTAGAAGTTATATGTGCCATACTACTTTTATTATCACTTGCTGCTTAACAAATTGCCTCAAACCTTGTCAGCTATTAACAAATATTTGTTAACAAATATTTAATAACTCACAGGTTCTTTGGGTTGGAAATTGAGAGTGACTCAGTTGGGTGGTTCAGGTACAGAGTCTTTCATGAGAGTGCGATCAAGAGGCTGGCTAGGGCTGCATCATCTGAAAACTTGACTTGGGCCTCTTCTGAGATGGCTCAGTCATGGCTGTTGGCAGGAGGCCTCAGTTCCTCACTTTATGGGCTTGTCCATAAAGTTGCTTGAGTATCCAAATGATGTGGTAACTGACTTCCACCAAAGCAGGCAATCCAAGAGAGAGTTCAAGGGGGAAGCTGCAGTGCCTTTTATGCCTAACCTGTCACTTCTGCCATATGCTGTTCATTAAAATAAATCACTACGGTCAACCCACACTCAGGGGACAGGGAATTAAGCTTCACCTATTGAATGAAGGAGGACCAGATAATGTGTGGACCTACTTTAAACTACCACATGATTGCTATTGGGCGTTTTATAACACCATATTTTCTTTTCAGATCCATTGTGGTACTGAAGTTCTTAAAAGAGAAGTATATGTTTCAGACTCTTGGATTTTACTGCAGAGTGAATTACTGTGGAAGGGGACTGCCAGATGTGGTTGTGGGGGTCAAATGAGGATTTACCGCACAAAAGTGTGATAGGGAGAAAAGGGAGCTCTCCCTCGTGGAGCACCTTCTGATGTTCATTCCCTTCTGCTTCTTCCGAGGAAGGGGATGGGGAAGACCTAGGAAACTGGGTGGGGTTGTGGTCTCCATTATTCCATGTGTACCGTCAGGGTCCACAACTCGCTGTCTTGGAGGTTACAACCACATTTTCACCCACTCGTAATTGTTTGTAGTGGTTTTACAACTTTGTACTCTTTCCAGCTCCAATATGTCCAGGACCATAATGTGGTTCTGTTGTTAACTCTTTGCAAGATAACAAGGAGAAGGAAATCTTTACATTTTGAGGCTAAAAATTCTTGTTATTTTCCTTACTGGATAACTTAAATGTGATGACCTCATTGTGCCTCCCTGCAAAGATTCCCATAATGTGAAGCCTCGTAGCTTCACATTGACCACTCTAAAAGAAAGCTATGCATTGTGCATCTGGAGTATTACTTTTAGAACTTTTGGAAGTAGTGCCAGTCCTGGGCTGTGGCTCTTCTGTTCTTTGTTTCTTACAGATGGAGAAGGTGAAGAGGGGGCAGCGAGTAACAAGTCCCATTCCCACCGGGAGCCTAGGGTCCCCTCTGAGGAGATGTGAGCTTCCTGGAGTCATTTCTAAGAGGTCATCTTCTCCCGTGATATCCAGGTAAGCATCTCTCCCCTTTGTCAGGCAGTCTGATAGTTGAGAGTCACTTTGCTGGGGCTTTATGCCATCTGGTGTATAACTTCTGCTCCTCCGTGAAGTATGACCAGCCAGAAGAGGTGAGTGAGAGGAATGCTGGTCTTGGAGTTACCTACCTTGACTCTCATGTATCTTCTGGGTAAATGATGGGTCATTAATCGGTTTGTTGCCTGGTGCATATGGAACTCTTATTTACCAAGATGATGCATTCAGCATTTGCTCTTCAGGTCCATTCTGCCTTTACAGCGTTCTCCTTATTTTTTTGCATCTGGTTTGAAATGATTGCATCAGGCTTGGGATCCTGATCATAATCTCCCTGTCCCAAACCCCCTCCCCCGTCTGTTTCTTGAACAGAGAGATAATAATAACTTATCAGCCACAATCAGCAGTATGTTTTTATAAAAGAAGCAAATCTATGTGTGTCTGTGTATGTGGATTTTTGTTTTGGTTTTTTTTTGTTTTTTTAATCAATATTTTTTCTTATGATATTGTGGGGTACAGTTAAGGGTTAGGTATACAAATATGCTTCGTTCAGGCACCCTTGTTGATAAGAGGTATCTCCCCATCCTCAGACAGATATTTACTACTGTTAATCCCATCTCCCTTCCCCTCCCCCCAATAGTTTCCCACCACTGTCAGTCATTTCTTATAGT